AAATTTATCTGACAAGCTTGCTACACTACGCTGTGCATTGGGATTATATTCCATCTTATTTCCTAACGCATTTCATTTGGTGGATTTTTCTCTCCAAGGAAATAGTAGGACAAAGTTGGAAAAGGTTTTGAAATGAATGAAGGACTATTGAATGTAGTCAATGCAAAATAAGTCATTTTTCTTGCTCGCCCTTCTCTCTATCTGATTTGATGAGGCTCTGAGTCTTTCATTGACTTTGAGCTATTTTACTACATAATTTATAGAAATGATAGTAATTCATATAACTCTTGTGCATATAAATGCAAATTGTGTCCATTTGAATGTGATTAATTATTATCTTATGGATATTGATCAGTTTTGCCAGATTTTGCCTCTACTTTGATAAAAGTGAACCTGCATCTTAAGATGCTTAACCATAGAGCTGGGAGGACTATGGGTGGAGCTGGGCCCCAGTTAACTCTCTAGTCCTGACTTCCTGTTAAACTTTGTAGTAACTTCCAGGGGAGGGACCATAATAAATAAAATAGACACCCTGGAACCGGGGCTACTCTTCTTCAAGCGGGTGGCCGGTTAGAGCCCCGTGTTGAAGATGTGTGTTAATGCACTGCGGTGGTGGTCTTTGCTTCTTTTTCTTTTCCCGAATAAACTGTGCTTTTGTGGATTTTCTGGAGAGTCATTTTTGACTAGTCGACAACTTATAACTTCATTTCAGCATCTCTTATTTGACGATACATGTGGGGGTCTGAATTCTCCTTTGAACTGGTTGCAACATCTTGCTTGTTCCCTCATTAATTAATGAGTTAAATAAATCTTTGACACGTTCACTTCCTATCTGTATGGGAACCATGATTGTAACTTTTTTTGCAGATTGTTTTCATTTAACAACATACATCAATTCTTAATATCCATGACAAATTAGTGTTTTTTGAAAAGCTTCTGTCTCTAGCTTCCTCAGTAGAATAAAGCCATGAAGCTGAATACTAGCGATTTAATTTTTTAAAAAGTAAATCCCTGTGCATGATAAAAAGTGAATTATCTCTTTATTGTAGGAAAATAATGTCATGCAGTCTCCAGAAGCAGAGTTGGAACTTCGTTAACAACACAGGAGAAAAAGAGACAAAACTGGCAGAAGTGATTCTAAGATATTACGTTGCCCAGAATTGATCCCCATTCCAGTTCAGATGGTACAGCTGGCAAAACCATCTCAACAGATTTGAAAAGGGTCTGCTCGCTTAACATGCTTTTTCCTGTCTGACACCCTTAGAGGTTGTGAAGCTGCCACGTGACACCCTGAGCTGGTTCCCACTCCTTTGTGTGCTGCCTCAGGCCTTCACCAAATAACTTCCTGAAATTGTGAGCAAGTGCTCTAAATTACTCTTTAAAACAATTTCAAAATCATTGATGTCAGTCTTTAGTTCTTTACAGCTTCTCAACCATTTAAGTTGACAATACATATATGATGTATAAATATTTAAATGAATATAGTTCTCTAATAATTAGGGGATTTTTAACTAGTATACTAAGTTGTTTCTCAGTTATTAATCTAGGAAATAGGATATTTTTAAAAGACTAGCTTCTCTACAAAAGGCAGGTCAAGCTTTGGAAGTACTTGATTTTGATAAGTTCTTTTAAATTATATATGTTTTTTGAATGAACGTTAATATTATGATCCCCAAAACTAAATTTTTTGCAATGTGAAATTATTATTTCTCCCTTGATTTATCAAATACCTTACATGTAAGGAATATATATATGTATTTTTAACTGGCAGGATCATTTTAAGGATTGGGAAAAATAGAATATTATAAAATAAGTTGGTTTTTTAATTTGGTCAAAAATACAAACTCTATTCTGAAAAAATAATTCATTAAACAATAGACAATATGGACTAGAAATTCCATTTTAGCTTTACTCTTAGAGGAGGCCACACTGTCGTCTCCTTAGTTTTGATTTTGGTCTAAACAGAATTGTCTAGCTTCATGTGGTTATAATTCCATCTAATTATAAGACTAAATAAAAAAACAACAACAGAGACTTTGATCTGCAAAGAGTTGTTCAAACTCTAGCAAGAATGTTAAATATATTAAAAATGTAAACACCATGGTTTATTTGAGTTTTAGTGTATACTAAATAAAAGCAAATGTTTGCTAGCTCAGTTTTAACTTCAATGCTTCCAACATTTATAAATACTGTTTCTTATTGTTTGCCGATTCTAGTAATATGAAGAAAGGGGGCACAAGTAAAATAAGAGCGTGAGAAAAAACAAAAACTCATTTTTCAGCTCACATTTTTATCATGTTCACAATGGAGAAGGGCTTGAATATATATTTCCTAAAGACCAAATCAAGCAATGTCTGCAAAAAGAAAGCAACTAGTAACAGTTCACTAATAAAGGTCATACTTAGAGTATTACTGTAAAGGTTGATCTTTTATTGATTTCAAAAAGAGCTAACAGCTAAATATTCAACCAATATTAGATAAAAATACTATGTGATACTGAACCCCTACGAAAGGCTTACCTCAGGCTGTTCACACATACTTGTAAATTCAAACTGAAAGTCAGTAATGAATCTTATAGCCACAGAGATTTCATACCCCCAGTCAACCAAAAATATTATTCCTCAGAGTAGATGAATAAACAAAACTCATAAATTTGTTCAGAAAGGTTTCCTCTGCCTATATTATATAAAACTGGCGATTTTCCACAATGTGTGCACTTACTCTCTAGAAATAACATTGGAAAGAACACAGGGTAGAGCTTCACAAACTTTTGGGGGTTTAAGCATCACACGGGGTTCTTGTTAGAATGTGGATTTTGACTCTTTGGATCTGGTGTGAGTCCTGAGATTTTGCATTTCTTACAAGCCCCAAGGTGACAAGGCTGTGGCTAGTCAGAGGAACACACGGAGGAGCAATGCACTACCCTCACCCTCAATGAAAAGGTACACATTCTCAGCCTTCTTAGCACATTAAGCATTTACAATGGCATAGCACATGTACATTTAGATTGCACATTCATAATGATGGGGAAAATAAGGATCTTTTCCTTGGATATGAACTATGAAGTTAGAATAGGACATTTTCAAAGTTCTGCCACCTGTATGCAGCCAATTTCCTGCACCAGCACGTCCCCATCCCCCTTCCTCCACAGTGCTAGACCTACAGGACACATTACCAGGGGCATCAACACCCATCTCGTGGAGGTGACCCACTCTCCTCCATCCCTAATAGGGTGTAGGGAATGCTGAGCCAAGAGCTTCAACAAATACAGAATCCTAAAGGGAGACTCGACCGGCGTACAAGCTGAGTAAAGTGTCTGCCTCTCCTTGGCAACATGAATTGCTTAATATTGTCTACTCAATTTCTGTAACTGAGTAAGTTGAAATTTAAAGTTGGTGCTCCAACCTTCCGAGTTTTTGCGCCCGATATTTTGATTTTTCTAACCTGAACTCAGAACATCTACCTGGCATTTCCTTTCTTTCCTTTTGTTAGCCCTTCTCCATGTGCCTTTTGTGAAACTAACCACATCCGAGCAAGCATGAAAACCAGAGGCGTTAGAGACGATAGGGGTGCTATGTACTCGGATTGTCCTCTCCGAGTGATATCTGGAAGCAAAAGTGAGTTTAAGTATGGGTTCAGTGTGCTCGATAAATGTATGGATTACATAGTGGGGCGCTCAAAATGGTTTTGAATGGATCCATGCATGCAAGAATAACGTATTTAGAGAAATAGATTCTGTCTTAGTACAGAAAGACAGTATTTGTAGCAGAGTGAAATGCTCGGCCTCTCTGACTCCATCTTGCTCAAGCCAGCGGCCTTCAAACTAATATAATAGTTTCTGCATAGTCTTGCATACAGACATGATCATCCTTAGAGGAATTCTGCTTGCCATTTAAGTTTTACAAAAACAGTCCCTTCCATTTCTCCTTCTCTTGACATAAAAGAAGGCTGAACTCTTTGCTTTCTTAAGATGGATTTCAGGGACCACTAGGGCTTCCATCTTCTTCTTCTTTTTTTTTTTTTTTAGTGAGCCATCCCTGCCACCTGTTGGCAGCTCAGCTCGGGCCGGGAAATTGAACTGGAGATCGTGTTGCTCAGAGCTCACACTCCTAAGCGAGCTCTTAACCAACTGAGCCACTCAGCCCATCTAAGTCTCCCATCTTCTTGCTTGGTGCCTTCTCCATCAGTAAACCTTTCGTCACTCCAAACTCTGACATTTTGAGTTTTGACCTTTTTAAGCATCGGGCCCACGGACTTTGGACTGGAACATATTCAAACGAAATACTTGCTACTTCTATGATATCATCACCAAACCGATTCCCAGTTTCCTTCACTACAACAGATCCAGATGGCTAATTCAGTGACCACTGTGGATTGGTTTCAGATCAAGTTTTATGGATTCTATCCACTGGTTTATCTGAAAGTTCCCAAATGCTATTTGCAGACAGCTCAAAGACACACCCTGTGTCACAGAGCACCCTTGGATAGTTCCAAAACAAATGGAGAAGTCTAAACGGGTTTTCAACAAAAATCTACCATACACTTTAATCGTCAAAACAGCAGTTTGCTGAATGGCTTGCACAAATCATGTCCTTGATGAGTATTTGTCACATGAATAAATGTCAGTTTGGTACAGATTGTTTTTCTCGTAGGGAGCCATGATCATGCTTTATTTTTTTTGTGCATGGCCAATATAAAACACGTGTTTGTCATGTACCAGGATGGCAACAAATGTTTGTGAGTGAAAATATATGCTAGCACTACGTTTATGCAGTTTCACCTTCATTTTCAGGATGCATTGATGCCCAATTTCTCCCTACCAATAAAGAACAAAAGCCATTTTTATAACATATTACTTATTATCTTGCTTTGGTGGGCATGACTAATGAATGGGCATAGAATGGAAACCCTACAGATGGAGAAAGGCCAAGTGGGGGTTTCATCCTAGATGATAGATAGACTGTTTTCGGACTATGTCACAAGGCCACCTGAAAACTCACTTCTTCCATGTAGGTTTTCAATGACTGTCCTCCACTGGGGGCTTCTCCCTAGAGGCAAAGAGGAAGAGAGGTTGACAAAGTCAGGAGAAGGAGAGAAAGAACGAGAGAAGAGAGTCATGGAGAAGAGAGAGACCCAGAGGCGACACAAAATCTTTAGTATTCACCCACCATCTCAGCTGATACTTGTAAGGTTATCAGTTTGGCAACTTCTTACTCTGAAGGAGATCATATATTTTTCAAGGCAACAACATGTCTTTTAAGTGGATTTTAGGCCATATACACCAATAACCACATAGAGTAGCTAACTAAATCTTAGGACAAAATGCTAAACAAGTAGTATAAAATTTTGTTATTAATTTTATAAATGTGTTCTTAAAAATAAATTAGGAAAAATGTTGCTAATTCTGTATTCTATAAATCTGTGTAAAGATGGAACAAATGGATTTAAGGATATTTTTATGGAAGGAATACAGGTCATTAACCTGCCTTTTCCCAAGTGTTTATAGCTAGTCTTTCTCACCTTACTTGTATGTCATTAGTGAATTCTCTATTTTTTGTGCCTTTACTAGCAACTTCGCTGAGTGCTAGGATTCAGAGGTTTAAATCACTGAAATTTAAAACAAATTAAACATACATCGCACACTCATCTAAACATTGGTGATCAAAATTGTCAAACAACTTGTTAGTTTGGATAAATTATCTTTTTATACTACATGCCAGAGACATTTGGAAATAGATTCTGAGATATCATGAAAGGATAAATTCGAGGACACCATATGTGTTTAAAAGATAACTAAATACGTGTGAATAAAGCTTACATTTGTTTCTAACTCTTTGAGGACCCTTCTTTTCAACTTTTCAAGGGCTTTCACATATATTATGTCATTTGATTGGTTTTTCACTACAGCTGGAGGTGAGACATCCTCAGACCATTTTAATACATAGAAAAATTAAAGAATACTGAGAGGTGATGAGTAAAATGCTTCAAGTCAAGGAACAAGCCAGTTATTGCTGAGGCTGTATTCAACTCTAACACTCTTCTACCTTGCTGAAATCCAAAAAGTTTTTAAACATGAAAAATTAAATTTAGTTTAAGAAAAGCCATGATATATACTGTAAAGCACTTTGAGAGAGTTAAAAAAAAAAGCATCCTCATTTGAAAAGAAAAAATTAAGCTGGGAAGAAATTGCTGATATTCCTAAAAACTTAGATGTGGTAATATTTTTCCCCCCAAATCATGGTTTCCACTAGCAAAAAATTAATACGCCCTGCTCTAATTGTTTCCAAATGTTCCAAGCTTGTAGGATTTTCAATGGATAAGATAGTGAAAGAGATAGAACAGTTATATTTACATAACCTAAAAGAGAAACTATTGGGGAAAATCAAATCCATATAAATCCTCCAAACTGTGAGGAATTGAACTCAAAGCATATAGAGAGGGTTGAAAACTTACTTCAGATAAACTGTTTTTTATGCTTGAACTTGCTCCACTCTCCTCATTTGGACAAGTCTAGAAGGAATGCTGTGGGTTCTTCCAATTTGGCTCATCCTATATGACAGAACTGGTCCTTTGCATACTTATAATCCCTCCCCCTCTGTGTGGGTTGCTAAGGGTAAGATGAGGTGGAAAGACGCTTGCTGTCACAGATCTGATTTTTGGAGGGGCCAGCATCTGCGGCCTGCCTGCCTCACCTCTGAACATCTGGGGGCTAACGATGAGATGCAGAGCAGTCCCTAAGTGCTCACCAAAGAGGGTCGTTTGTTTCCTTGGAGCTGGGGTGCAGTGGTTTTCCCCATTTGTCTGGACACTTGCAGTCTTATGCTAAGACCTGGCGATGACTGCAGATTTTCTTCATGATTGAATACAACTAAAGCACTGTACATCCTATAAGGCTTCTTCTCAGGCTTATTTCTCCCCACCATGCCAGGCAGGTCCTTTTCAAACCCACACCAGAGAAAAGGAGCAACTCACACAACGCCATTTGTTTCAAAGGCCACACAGACTGAAGTTTGGCTGTAACTGCCATCCATAAATCACTGACATGGGTGGCACTGATGAATGAGAAGAATGGGGTAAAAGCTGGAGGAAAATACAGAGAAAACAAACACTTCACTGAGAGGATTACAAATGTGGCACAGGGCCAAGTGCACAAAGCCAAGAACAAGACGTCAAGATCTCTGAGTGTTCGGGTCCGGAGAGATGGCCCCAATCAAGAGGCGTGATTCAATATGTCTGCCTCCGGTTCCCTATTTCCATGGTGGGTCGGCTAAAATGCTGACCTTCCCTCCATCCCACACGGGGGGCGCTAATTAAATAAAATCCCTTCCAAAGCACAAAGCTATCAACGTCAGTCATCCTTTTTCTCCATTTTAAATAAGTCATTCTAACACCGTAATATTTTGGTAACCACCTGGAAATGAACCAGAAATACACAAATGCAATTTTTCTTTAAAAACAAAGAGAAGAAGGGATACAAGGGAGGCAGACAGGTGCATGTGAAGGAGAGAAAGGGCAGGAAACATGGAAACTGTGCCTTAAAAAAAAGAGGGAAGAAAAGGTATTTCCTGAAATGTGGTTTCACTTATCATGAATCTAAATATAACCACAGATGAGATAACAATGTTTTAAATGTGAATTACAAACTATATTATAATCTCAGAGAAAGAAAGAAAGAAAAAAGAAGCTGATAGGATTACTGCTTAACACATGACATGGAATCATGGCTGTTAGAGACAAAGGCTCTTGTCACTGTCCTAGTTAATTTCCAGCTACGGAAACATTCTCAATGAGATGGACTATCCTAGAGACAGAACTGGGACTAGACCCACCCGCTGCTGAATCTATTACCCTTCTTCCCCGTACCACACTTCTCTTGTTTCAATCGGTATTTTTTACTCATCTCTTACTGATCCTTAAGACAAAATGCATGAAGACTTGCATTTGCATTTGAGTACGTTTATTCACCAACATTTATTTCTCTGGTATTCATTTCCTTGAAAGACATTTCCATGAGACCCCAACTTCCATCAGACTATTTCTTCCCACCTCTTTTCAAATGAAACTAAACAATAATCCTAACACAGACAGCACCCTCTTACATGGTCCCTGACGTATTTAGAACCTATAGAAGAATGGGAACTTGATTGATATGAATGGCCAAGATATTTCTGAACCCAAGGGACCCGTAAAACTTCACCCATTATTTACTCCACCGTTATTTAGGAAGCACTTACAGTGTGTCACTTACTATGCGACGACGTGTGGGGACAAGTTGGTGAATAAGAACTAATCCCCATCATAAAAAGTTCATTTTGAGAAAAGAAATATACAAGTTACTAGAGTACAGAGCAAAAGTTAACTTGGCACAGGTAAGCCCAAGGTGCTATGGGGAAAAAAAAATAGGAAGAAAAGGCACCTAGGCTTTCACTTTATGACGAGCATGTATTGACAGCTTGCATGAGCTGGGAACAGTGTAGCCACTTGAAACATGTAATGAAGAAGATGAATTGGAGAGATTAAAAGTTGAGGAGATTATTTTTATGTTTAGTTCTCACCACTTAGTCAATTAGCCAGACTAAGGAGCCGTTTGGGAGAAGGACTCACACTAGGGCTGAAGAAAGACTTTGTGCAAGTGCCCAGACACAACAGAGCAAATATATAAAACCACAAGTATTGCAATGAGGAGCACCAATTATACTATGCACTCACATGTGTACTGTGCTTTTAGATATAGAGAAATTAACATCCTATGCCATTTCCTAATTTTTTACTATAATTTCCTGTAATATAGCTGCTAATATAATGGTTATATGTTGTTTTCTAACTGCATTATTATGCAGAGTTACTGAATTTGTGAGAGATGATAGAGAGACTGACGTTCAGCTTTCCAAACTCCGGCAAACTCTATAGGCAGCAACTACTATCGATGTCCAAGAGAATAACAGGATGTTATCTATTTACAACTAGTAAAAAACTGGGTGCAATAGGTTAGAAACGCAGACATTTTTGAAAAGCTCAGAAGTCTTTCAAATAATTGATATAGTCAACAAATTAATATTATGCCTGTTTTCAGACTTATGTATATGAACAGATGCTGTTTCTAATTGGTTCCAGTGACTTTTGAAATTATGTTAAAAATTTTTTCTGAAGATTTGCCCACAGTCTTATGAATAAATAGCACACCAATGCAGGCCATCTTTCTCTGAAAATGACACCTTTATCCAGCTGAGAAGATACTTGACTGCTTTAGCACTGCTAAGGGCTAAGAGTGGTGTTTTTAGATAAGATGTTAAGATTCACTCTGCCTTTAACTTCCACTAATGCTGCAAGTTATGTCTGTACCAGCAATCAGCTACATAAGGCATGATCAGAAGTCAAATCTGTCCCCTCAGAAGGGGTGAATAATACTCAATCCTTAAGCATATAACTGACTTTTAAGTTAAAATAAAAGCAATTTACATTTCTCTTCCCATTGTTTTCAAGTTAAGCTAAATCGTTCCTTTCGTGGTAAAGCCCTTGACTTAAAGACTTACTTTAGAAGGATGAAAAAGGAAAGGAGTAATTATGGGATTAATGACTATTACTAATGTTACATTTTAAGCAATTTAAGGCAGTCTGGTGTTTCTTATTATTTTCTGAGTTGCAAAATAATAATAACAATAATAATGATAATTCTATTTTTCCTTCAATCCCATGTTAAAAAAAAATAGGCATGCAAAGCCAGTAATGAGAGGATGGCTAGTGTTAATATTTAATTGCATTGTTTCAAAAAAATAGACAGAGGTATATATCATCGGTCAATTGGCTTTAGAAAAATCCATTTGACCTTGAGCTCTTCGTTGTATTAGTCATGTGTCTTTTCTCTGATATGTGTTGATTAATTTATCTTATCAATAGTTAATATTGTTTCACTATTATCATGTACAAGAAGTAGTATTCTTTAATTCTTTTTAAAATGGTGTGTTGTGCCAACACAGCAAATTATCAGCCGTGAGACACTGAGGAGCCACAACTTTGTTCTGAAGCTGAGTTTCCTTGTATATGAAGT